AAACGAGGTGACATCGCCGAAGCGACGTTGCTTCGGCGACGTCACCGAGTTATATATATATATATACCGAGCGATATATCGCTCGGTATACCGTTTCGTATCGTACCGAGCGGACGTCGAAATCTTGTGTGTTCTTAGACATCTATATTGCCTTACACCTGGTGTATTTGAGAAAAAGATGACTACCTTTGTTCTCTTTGGTCATGTGACAAAATGTCCCAATCAATGTTTGCAATAAGATCCGTGCTTCTAAGTTCTAAGCACATTCTCATGAGTTGCTTGATAAGTATTCTCCTTTTCCCCTTCTTTCTTGATTTCAGTTTTTCTTTTTTGTTACATCTACTTTTCCGACTGTTACATACTGTAGGTGTCTGAATATAACCTACATGCACTTGGTTCAGCTTTGATTTTTCTTTTAAAGTGCATATAGGTTTTTGACATATGAAAAAGAAAATCTGCCTGTGCTTAATTAACTACATTAGAAAGAAGATAGAACTCAACATTATACCGAAATAGACATTTTTAGTTGCCCAGTTATCGAAGCCAGCTTTTGAGACTTTGCTTTGGATTGTTAGTATTTGAACTTGATCTCAAACATGTTCAGGTAGCTATGTACTCGAAGCACATAGGAAAAACTCCTGAGCAGATTGAGGAAGATATCAGACACCCCAAATATTTCAGTCCGAGTGAAGCAGTTGAATATGGCATCATCGATAAGGTAATATATAGACGAAGAAACAAATTCTGTCGCCAAGTTGTCTAAATGGAATCACTGTCGCTAAACCTGTTGTTTTGTCAGGTACTGTACAATGAGATGGCCTGTGAAGACCGTGGCATCGTTTCCGACCTTAAAAGAGCTCAGCTTATATAGACTGGTGAATGCAGATGTTGTGACACCAGGATTTCAGCTAAATTTATGATGTGATAAGGACCTTAAAAGAGCTCAGCTTATATTGACTGCTGAATCACAGCTTTTATGCATTGGTATAACTACTTACTATTGTTCCGTCGGTTGCTTCATTCTCCGTTTTCAGCTTACATTTACTAATGGTTTGCTGATCATTTCATTTCATAGTTTAATGTTGTTGGTATAAAAGCCAAAGCATGGTGGCAGTGTGCAGCAATTACATGGTAGAAATTTCGGCTCCCCCAACACATTGGGAACAAAGAACAATACTTCAATGTGGTTCTTATTTAGTCACGATCGGCCATAGTCTCATCCTTTTCAACCAGCAGACATGGCTGCCCTATTTTTGTTTTTGAAACTATGAACCTGTATGACATATTTTTGGGGCAAGTGAAAGCTCATCATGCACTACTCAATTTATGTGTTCTCAATGCCTTGCAATAGTTTGTACGACCAAAATAAAAGAACAAGAATAGAATCTCTCTATTTATATCTTTGTTGCATGCTTGATTCCATTTTTGGGTTAAGAGGAAAGTATTTAAATGGTTTCAACACAAATTGTAATGCAGGGTTTAAAACCTCATTTGATATAATATTGATCTGGTGGTGATATATCATATATTAACTTATCAAATATTAAGGGTTTTAAAATTGAGGTAACCTTTTAGTTCTATTCAAATTGGTTAATCGAATGAAAAAAAAAAGAATATCCTCAAGTTAGAACAGTTTAGTCAATATAGATAGCTATCTTAATGTTCTTCTTTTCTAAGCATTGGTTTCCATTTCTTTTATAGTATATTATGTTCACCTGTTGTCATTATACTATATCAAATTATATCAGCATGGACAGGTATTTAGTTACATCAAGAAGAGAATATTCAATGGCACTGACAATATCTTACTGCTTTTTATTATTATTATTTTATTATTAAAGAAAAATAAACAAAATGCTACAATAATCTTAATTAATTATGATAATAACAGCTCAAGAGGAGAACAACCATTGAAATGGATCCACTATCTTGTTTCTATGATTTAAGTAGAAAAGGGATAATATGATATACAAATTACATATGAGATGGTGGATTACCAAAACAAAATCCTGGCTTTGCCCTTAGCTTTAGCTGATAACATGTCTCAAGAAAACGTATTATTTGTGAAGGTGAATACCTATTTATTTACCTTTAGGAAAATGCAGAATGTGTGTGTAGTGATCCAGTTATAAGATCAATTAATGTAAACAAATCATCACATACAGCCTAATATTTTGCAACATATAAAACTAAATTGGCAGGCTGGTTTAGGAAATAAATGGGATGAAGAGTGATTTCATCGACCAAACCAACAAATCCATGAAATCCATGTACGTACTATCAGGTTAGAGAAAATCCTCAAATCATTTGGCTACAGAAAAGATAGACAATAAGCATGCAACTTTTCTTATGCATATATGTGCCAATTATCTCATCTAGTTGACTGAAATGGGAAAAATCACAAGAAGAAGAAGTTACCTTCTCAGTGTTTTCTTGAACAACTCCTTGCGTCCAAGCATCGGCCTATTATCCTCTCGAAAAACCTGGATGAACCTCATAACTATTAGATTTCTTTATTTATATTACAGGGTACCAGCACAAAAAGAATTAAAAGTACGCAATCTAATCTGAATCATTAAACCAAACTTATCTGGTGGTATCTTCTACTGCTAATTCCTCAAAAAGACGAGCAAAACAGAGAGAGAGAGAGAGAGAGAGAGAGTGTGTGTGTGTGTACAAGAACAGAACTAAATACGGAATTGAGGCATAAAATTTCCGCACTATTACACCTTAAGAATAACAATAATAGGGTAACCAAAAACCTTGCGTCCTGCATCCAGAAGAGGAAACGATCATCCCGTAGAACCAAAAAGGAAAAAAGAAAACATAAAAAGAAAGCCACTTTATAACTCATATATACAACATCAACATGTTTACTTGCTGATTTATTCCTTAAGCTTGACGAAAAGCTGATCCAAAATTCTATCTTCCGCAAGAACGACAAATCCAATACAGCAAGCGCAAAAGGACCGATTGCATATCTGTTTTATTATGAATCGAATCGAAGAGCCAAATACCACGAGATTACCAAAGAAACAGAAATCAATTACGCGATCCGTGGAAACAAATTCAAATCAGAGCGAAGAGGGGACAGACCGGATCGCTGGCGACGAGTCGAGCCATGCGGTCGGCGACATGGAAGGCGTGCTTGGAGCCAGGCCCAGACGATCTTCATAGCATCCACATCGTACTGCGTCTTGCTCCGCTCCTGCGCAAGATGGTCCACCCTAAAAACCTCCTCCATCATCCTAATCCCCTCCGAACCCTCCCACTTTCTTCTGAAGTAGGCTTTTTGCTCCAGCTTTGTTCGCCTCCTCCTCCCTCTTATATCCATCCACCCACGTAATTGTGCATTTGCCAACATGGGTCCCACCCGTGTAAAGGGTGTTGATGGGATCAACGCCACGCGTCCGCTGATGTGTTGCTCTCCGACCACTAGTTTTTGCGTGTTTTTCCAAATGAAATTATCTTATTAGAATAATATCTAATATAATAATACATGAGGTGCATGGTCGAAGTTGATGAACCGTGACATTCTTTTTATTTGACATATTTCTACTGTTTTCGAATCGCATTATAATATTTTTATTGAAACATTATAGATGATATTATATTATGTTTTTTTTATTATTGTTACTCATAAATTATTATGATATCATATTTTAAAATTTATAATTAATTTAATTAAAATTAATAATTTATAAATTTTATAACATTTTTATTACAGTAATCAAAACACTATAATAAATTAATTTTTTTTATCGGTGATATTATTCCTGTTACAAATATCTATTTGAATCCTATATAATATATCAAATGATTTGTAGCATGTTCTTATTTCATCTAACTCACTTACAATTTTTTCAATAATATTATAAATATTTTTATTGCGGTGTTGAAAACATATTAAGTATTAAAAAATACTATAAATAACATTTTATTATGTCTCCTTAATCGTCATTTATCGTAAACTATTATGCTATCAAAATTTTAAAGTAAAAGTTGGTTTAATTGAAGTTATACATCTGTTTGTATCATTTATAATATTTTCAAATAGATTTTTACCATAATGACAAAAAAAAATATAACATGAGATTTTTATTATAATGACAAAAAAAATATAAATTGAGACTATCATCCGAATTAGGAGACACCATTTGGAAAAACTAACGACACCTTTGGAAAAATAAAGATTATTTGAAAAAAAAAATCCTAATTTTAATTTATAAAAATAAATACGCACAATTACAGTTTTTTAAGGGGGAAAAAAAAGGATAAATTCCGTTCACTGAATGTATTACCAGATTGGTTCCAATTCGTATCAAAGGAAAATGAGCAAGTGATCCGTTGTTTGTCCCATTCGCAAAGGTTACAAGTTGAAGTCGATGTTTCTTATCAGATAACAGTGGCTCATTCATTGCCTAGACAAAGATTCATCAAAAGAATCATAAAACTAAAATCAACCAAAAATGCACATTATCATATTGTAGAAGAAGAGAAAAAGAAACCATATGGAAATGTCACTGCCATGGGTTGCAAGTATGAAAGCTTATGGAGTAAACCTTTCATGAAGTTTACCAGCAAGCAACACATTTATTGCCTATCAAAGAACAAGATGTAAAATAGCATTTAGGAACGGGTAAATGAAACGAACAAGTTGAACGCATAGAGTAAATATCGAGTGAACCTTTCATCATGAAGTTTACTGGCAACACATTTTTTACCTATTAAAGAACAAGATCTAAAATAGCATTTAGGAACAGGTAAATGAAACTTGATAATGGAGCAAGTTGAACGCATAGGGTAAATATCGAGTGAACCTTTCGTCATGAAGTTTACCGACAACACATTTATTGCCTATCAAAGAACAAGATCTAAAATAGCATTTAGGAACAGGTAAATGAAACTTGATAATGGAACCATAGGGTAAATATGAGTGAACCTTTCATCATAAAGTTTACCAGCAACACATTTATTGCCTATCGAAGAACAAGATCTAAAATAGCATTTAGGAATAGGTAAACGAAACTTGATAATGGAAACAAGTTAAACGCATAGGGTAAATATCATCACATTGTAAATTAACGAATTAACAGAAACTGACAAGTGAAAGGGTAAAAAGGATTACAGCAAATGACAAGTTCAAAAATAGATGTTAACTCGTCCAGTTCAGTTTAGGAACTGCAGCATCCATGAAATTCTGTTTCTCATAATCCCACAATTGCACCATTTGAGCAGTATCTTTACCGAGTAGAAAAGAAAATTCATAGTCCCTGCACAGCAAGGTAACTTCGGATTAAAATGTATTCTTTAATAATGAGCTCTTGGTTTTCTTTCAAGGCTTGCTGATCAGTTGATGCAGCTACTAAGGGCTGTGTCATGATTTAATAGAAAAGAAAGGCTGAATAATTCTAATTCTGATCGGCTTCTTGAGTTATTATGTTCAAAAAGTGAGACTCTGCACTATGCACACGATTAAAATCAGAGAAAAAAGAAATTAGTTTAAGATCGGACTACATCTATGCTGACCTTAAACCTCCTTGGTAAGATAATCTTCAAGATTTCTAGAGAAACCGATTTAGTCAAAAAATGGTCCAAGCAACACTATCCTAGACATCATTGATCGTACCCCAGACACAGTAGTGGTGGATTCAATTGAAATCTTATGATGTTATTTAACGTCATCAGCATCATTATTATTTTAGTATAGTCATTAATCAAAAGCCAAACTAAATCATGACTTGGCTAATTGTGGCTGGAGCTTATTTGGACTTAGGTTTAGACTTAGGTTGAATTAACTTTAGTCTTGTTAGGCCTATTGAGGGTATCTTGATACCACATCAGCATTCAAATTAACATGGGGTCCACTTGTCAGTTCCTGCAATAATTTGACACAACATGGAGGTCTTTTGCCGCACTGAACTAGGCTAAGATCATAGCTCAAGAAAAGTTCCAACATCAATCCTGGTCGCAGTTGATTTCGGTTAAGACTAGATTCGACAAGTCAGCATCATGACAATTTCAAATGAAGAAGACTCAAGATATTAAGACAAAAGAAGCATACGTCAGCTAGTTTTGGACTGACCAAGGAGGGAAAAGCAAGCCAAGCCAAGGGACCAAATTATCGTTTGATCAAGCAGCCTACCTACGACGTCGGATGCCCAAGGCAATTAGGTGATCCAGAGGAGAGGCCTGTAGACATTGTCAGCAGGTAAGAACCACTAGGAGGCTGGAGGACTTCATCAACATGTAGCGCAGCTTGCCCTCGACTTTGATTGAATTGTGAGGAAGTTTGTTACGCATACAAGGTCAAATTCTGATTGAATTAGGACTTCAATTCTGCCAGTCTAACCAAACTTTCATCTTTTAGAGCGGTCATAATTCAAATCCAAAAACAACCAAATCCACAATGGAATTAGTCAATTTCTCGAAGGACTAAAAGTAGTTAAAGACAAAGTTGGGAGTCTTAAGACTAGCCGAACAACCATGATAATCTAAACTACTGCCTAATCCTAGCACACCAGAGACTGTCAAAAGGGAGGTCCACAGGAGGAGATAAGATTGAGACAGTATAATAGATATCAAGGTAGGACAGTTTCTAAGGGTCTCTATTTATTTATTTTACTAGAATTTTTCTCTAATTTCTCTTCGCTTCTCCCTTGAGTTTTGTAAGCACTACATTCTAAAATCTATAGGTACAAGCTACCATATCTCCCACTGGAAATAGTTAGCCAGAAAAGGCAAATAAATGAAAATTTTAAACAATTAAGGCCATTAACTTCAATTACCATTTTGTCATAGAATTGGGATCGATAAGCAACCTACAAGTTCGGCTTTCTCTTTCCCAATGCCTCCTCTCATTAAGCTATTTGCATAATCTTAGGTAAAATAGACATACGGTGAAAAGACCTCCATGTTCACCACAGAGATCATTTGAATTACAAGAATGCACTACAGGTGCAGATGCAAATATGGGACACGATGAAGCAAAACCATAGAAGATAGGAGTGTTTTTCTAAGCAAATTTCAAACTAAACTATCTTTGGATACTAAATTCATCATGTCTACAAAATCAAATGTTGCCATTTTACTTACCAAAAAGATGGATGTTTTCAATAAAACAAGATGATAAGGATTTGTAGCAAAGAAAATAAAGCATAATCCATATATGTGGTGCAGAGTATATCTGAGCTGTGTATTCTGTGATATATTGCTGAAGAATCTATTATGATTTATCCATGAAAGTCCTATTTAGTTGTGTAAGCTTTGAAAACATGGAAAGTCAAGGATCTAGTACCTGTCTTTAGTGACGAGCAACCATCAAGCATGGGAATGTGGCAACAGTCAGCTTTCCTCTGCATGAAAATTGTATCTCTAATTGAAATCATCAGACCACTAAAATCATATTTCTTCTCTGTTTATAACTTCCCTGACCACCAATGTCCTCCCATTAAATACCTGCAGGAAACACCATCTTGTGAAGAACTGATATAATCAAAATTAAAGCATCTAAGTTGCTAACTGCAACTGCTTGTCAAAGGTGCTACACACAGATTAGTCAAACAAAGACATTAAGGAACATCCATGAGAATTAAGATGGCTGTGAAAAAAAAAAGATAAAAGAGATGAATTAGTGGTTGGCGTTAACATCAGAAGATAGTTGTGTAAAATTTGAAACTTGCACCAAATTTTATGTATACTTGTAAGCACTAAAATCCCAAGGAAAACCAGGAGGACTACCGATCCACTTGTCTCCAAAGCAGCCCTAAGTTCATCAGAAGAAGTGAAGGAAAGAAAACCATAGACACGGTTTCTCCCTCGTTTGCGATCATATAGCACTCTAGCACTTACGATGTTTCCAAATTTACTAAAATACTCCCTCAAATCTTCAGGTCTCACAGACCATGCAAGATTACCAACATAGACTTTGTGTGGGCTCTCAAAAACCATGTTCCTTTTAGGTGTTGTATTCAAGGCCTCCATGTTTTTCCTCCGAGAGCTCATATCAGCTGAAAATTTGACACGCAATTCTCGCCCACCAAGGTCCTATAAAAAGACAAGGATATATCAGTAACCATGTACAGAATTTTTTAAAAAAATAAGGACACATTATGTAACTTACTGATCCATCCAATGCAACCATTGCTGCTTTAGCTTCTTGGATAGAATTCATCGTAACATAACCACAACCTCGACTAATCCCTGTCTCAGCATCCCTTGAAACCTGAAACAGTTCATATTTCAGGTGAGAACCAATAACAGCACATTGAAATACAGTATGAATCCACAAAAGAAAAAAAATGAATTGTGGAAATCAGCGAAAAATACTAGTGTTGACACAGCAATGTGTGACCAATATGGGAAATTATGAAAACTGGAATAAACAGACCACTGTCAACAAAAACACAATGAGAGAATTTACTTTATGAAATACATGATATTTACAATAAGTAAAATAATGATATCCCAGTTGCACATAAATTACAAAGTTCAACTATGGTGACAAGGTAAATCTCACTGTTAGAACAAATATTAAATGCATTTACAAGGCTAAATTCAAAGGAGAAAGCAAAGTACAAAAACAACTAACCTTTTTCATGACAGACAAAACATAAAAAATGGAATTTTTATTCTGTTATCCATGTTTTACACAACATCGGATGATATCCTAATAACTAATCAAGCAACTCCATGAAGTTTAAGCTAAGAACTTCCTCAAAATTTGTCACATAGTAAATTGGAGCATCAGCAACTAAGGAAACTAAGTGGAGGCCAGTAAGCTGGGCAAAGAAAAGATGGTGAAGAATATTGACTTGGAACACAGTAAAACCAGGTCATTAGATAGGAAAGAGACACTTTATCAGTTAGCATCATTTCATGACCTGAATGAAACATGCCAAACCTGTCAATTGCACTAAAATCTTCAAGATTTACAAAGACAAAGAGAAGAGAAGCAAAATTCTAGTAAAACTTAATGAAACCAGAAGTACCAAAACCTTAAACAGCTATACCATCAGATCAAGAACCCTGATTGCAGTTATTCAAACAATTGAATAGTTTATTCAGCAAGAAAATGTATACAAGATGTAGATCTTCCACAAACATTAAGCAAGCAAATTTTCTAGCTTCTCCAATGTTAGTCCCTTTATCATTAGTACAAACAGATCTTCTTATCTAAAATATAACACTATTTCCACTTTGTTGATCTAGAAGGCAGATAAAAACCTCTAAACCCAATTTAGGACACAAAAATAACTATCACAATGAAGAATTTTATAAGGTTTTTTTTTTTTTCAAAAAGACTACTCACATAATGCTCACATGGAGAAATTGCAACTTCTCTTCTCCAAACTGAAAAAGGACTACTTAAAGGTTGTCATCTCCAGCAATCTGAATTTTTTTTCGCATTTTTGTCAAGAGCTAACACTTAAAGAGCCAGACAAACTCTTCAGGCGAAGTGACACAAATTCCTAAACTGAACACCAGAAATTGATTCTGATCAACCAAGATGGTCCTATATATAGGTGACGAGTTTAGAGAAAGGAAATGATTTCCCCATGGCTGAGCACCACCTAACTATATAATTCTCAATTTTGAATGTCTTCCCATATCATTTGCCTTTCGACTCTCCACAGTAGGTTAAATAAAACAGACTAGGTTCATAATACAACATGAAATATACACTGGAGCCACAGAAACTTAATAATTGGCAAATTTTGGATATTCCTTTAGCATTTTGGTCAGAGGCTGATGGGGGAGGATACACTGCATCAATCCTATGCTAACAGATGTTCATATCAGCATCCACCGCATCAGCATCCCTCTTGCATCGATTCCGGAAGAGAGCTGACCCACCTCAGGTTGATTGGGTCCGTGCCCCTCCAATCTGAGTGACTTGGTTCCTAGTACCTTGACAGGGACAACACCATCAAAGACTCGTGATGGAAGGTAATGGACCAACTAACCCCCTACCAAGTGCCACCCTCCTATTAGATGTCACTCTCATGTCAGGCACCATCCCAGCCAGAAGCCACCTTTTGCATAGGACGTCATTCTCCTGCTAAGCGTCAAACTCCAGTCCTGCCTGATGTCATTCTCTTGGAAAATGTCACAACTTCATCAAGTGCCACACCACTACCACATACACAGAAGGTGTCCCTAACCACAATGCAGAACACATGGAGTTTCTCTCCAGCCACACGATCCCTTCCCACATTATAAGGGCAACACCATACGATAACAAGAAGACACCCTTGCAATCCGACTTGACTCTCAGCCTCTCCTGCCTTTCAATGCTCCATCGGAATCAACACTGACAGATGAACTCCACTTGGTGGTCAAGACAGAGATCCATCAGAAGCTAACACTAAAAAGGTCCAAATACCTTTCAGGCAAATCTACACAAATTCCCAAACTGAACACCAGAAATTGAATTTGATCGACCAAATGACAAGTTTAGGGAGTGAAATTCAATTTCCCAGCGGCTAAGCATCACGAAACCATATAATTCTCGGTTATGAAACCCCCTCACATACACTTGCCATAGGATATCTCACAGTAGGTTAAATAATAGAGACTATTTTCATAATGCAACATGAAACATGTATGTACTGACGGCATGGAAACGTGAGTACATGAAACATGTACTCAAGAAAAGAAGCCCCTTCTTCGCTACAAGCGAAAGTTGGCATGCCCCCTTTTGATGCCGAGCCTCACTCACGCCTAAGACAACAGAAACTAATTGAGGATAGGAACGGCAAAAAGCGAGAAGGAAACCAGTAAACGAAGTTAAGCGCCACCACCTCGACGGAATGAACGGTGCCATGAGGTTTGAAGAGATCCAAGAGCTGGGGGATGTCGCAACTCCTGGGAAGATTGCACACGTATAATTCGCACCGCCGTCGCACCGGGGCTTTCACCTCCTTGGGGACCCCGTCGTCAGCGCCGTCATCGAGTTTCTCGTCGACCACCGTGGTGACAGCGGCGTTCTCTTCGGCCCCATCGACGGCGAGGGCCTTCTTAGCTCTGGGGAAAGAGGGAAGAGGCGTAAGAGGGGAGAGAGGATGGTGACAGTGGGAAACGGAGAGCGGCACGGACGCGAAGTGGTGGAAAGAAGGGAGGCGGAGAGAGGAGGACGAGAGGAGTCTGTTGGGGAAACGGAGGAGAGAGAGTTTAAGAAGGGAACAAGAAGCGGCGTCCGTTGTGGCTGCAGCTGTGGCTGCGGCAGCCATCGCTCGATGGGAGACGGGAGGCGGGCAGAGAGAAGAAAGAAAAAAGCGAAAGGGATAAGACGCCGATATTTTAGATGGCCTCATTAACGAAATAAATAATAAAAATCTTGATTGATTCAATATAATATGCCCGAGTCAAACAAAAGCTCGAGTTCGAGTTCGCACGGTTCGACCACTCAACACAAATATGATTCCGTTTCGAGACTCCAATGCGTAGTCACCGCTGCAGGACAGGACTATATAAGGAGCGATTTAGGATCGCATCATCGCCCTTAGCTCGCATTTCCTGCGTAGTTTGGATTGGGGAGTCGGTTGCCGATGCACCAATCGAAGCGGCTCCTAGCGGCCGGAGGCGGCGGCAGAAGGAGCAGCGACGGCGGATTCCGTTCTCCCGTCCTGCTGCTTCTCTTCCTCTTTGTTCTCGCTCCTTCGCTCTTCTTTGCGGCACGTGGCAGCATCCGCGCCGCCCCCATCTCTCCCGGTGAGTGGAGTCTTCTCTGTTCCTGTTTGAGATTCGATGGTTTTCTTGAGATCTGGGTTTGGGAGCCCGTAGACGACTCAGATCCATGCTTCGTTGGTTGTGACCTGGATGTTATTTTCTTGAAGATCCAATGAGTGCGATGTATATGATTTTCCAAATTTCGAATTCTCTCACAATGATTTTGACTCAAAAATCTTTATGAAGCCTAATTTATCTCAAGAAATCTCCTGATTGCTGTTACATGTCTAAGTTCAAATGCTCAGGACGTCAGCGCATGAACCGTATAATGTATGCCTAATCGTAGTTTAGCATTGTTGTTAAGCATGCAACAAACAGAGCCCAAGAATTTGAAGGGTTAAGATTTTGAATTAGCTATATGCTACGTTATACCGATATGTTATATGACAGCTGCTCATGAACTAAGGGTTAATGTGAAATCATCAAATAAGCTTTCCTGTTTGGAGAGACTGCATGATTTGGCTTTGTTCGACCTACTTGAGATGCAAGCCGCTTAAATTTATGTTTCCTCTTTAGTATGTTGAAATGATGTATGATAAACATTATGTTTTATCCAAACTTCGCATATGCCCCTTATAATTCTATCCATCATATATACAAGAAAAGAAGTTGGTAACATCTTGACACTTTTGTTATTCTTTCAAGTACAAAAACATGCTGAAATTATGAAGATTCTTTATCTTCAGTATATTTCCTTTATATCCTCATCTAATATTTAGGGGGTGACTGAAATCATTATACTGTGAAGAACATCTCCATTCAAGCTTGAACACCTAAGCATGCTGCCATCTATAAATTCTGTTTAGTCTTTCAACTATCATGTGACACTTAAATATTTATGTAGTTAAGTAGGAGTCATCAAGGGTCTCTATTGTTTTCTGGACCAGTGTGGCTTATACTTTTTCTTTTGCTACAGAAAAAGACCTTTGGTTTCTTGTTGCAATTGACTTAAAACCAATATGCGGAGAAACATGTATCAGCCTTTTTATTATTGTAAAAATGATGTTTTAAGTGACATGTAGCACACTAATGCATCAGTTAAGTGGCTAGTGATGAATTAAAAAGGGCAACTAAATGATGTACATCATTTCAATAGGATGAGAATAACTTCCAATCAAACCATTGTAACTATTGCTGTAATTTCTTTTGAACTCTGATGACTTGTTTGTTTCTGTAACATCTTCCCATCATAGAAGATTGTGTGAAGTTCACAAATATGATTCATTAAAAATTATTCAAAAAAATGAATTTGAAAATTTAGATGGGCTGCATTAGGAGGACTTCACCAAGTATTGATATCGACACAACTGAATTTATTGGATTATATTCAGTTGGTTCCTAATACAAATATTTTTAATGGTAGCAAATTCAATCCCTTGTTCGTCTAGACTATTTACCATTTCTAACAAGATGTTAAAGTTAGCTTCATGATTGCATGCATAAAAAATTGTGAGCACTAAGGTGGACTCGCTTCCTGCCAGTAGCCCTTTTAGGTTCTAAGCAAGTTTCTCACATGTCATGATTGTACCTAAGTAGGATACAGAGCCAAATTTTGCAGGCAAATGCTATTATGTATTATAGTCAACCCATTTATGATGGATAAGGCTTGTTTGATGCTGATGATGACGGGGACGCCGGGGAGTCCACATTGCTGCCATCGTCGATCGAGGCTTGTTTGATACTGTCCACATCGCTGTCATGCCTCCGGATCGATCGAGATGCTGAATGTGATTGAAAAGTTATCTATATACCTTTGATCAGAGAGTTCTTCCTCTAACTTAGATATAATCTTCCCTAATTAGTCTCTCAAGCTTGATTTAATCCATAAATTACAGCTTTGTGAAGTTTTAAGATAGTGCAATGTGAGAATAAGAGAAAGAAGGGAGTGACAAAGAGATTGAGAGAGTATAAGAGTTTGAGAGAGTGAAAGGGCGTGAAAGAGAGGAGGAAAGGGTTTAAAAATCCTTTCAAATGGATTTGACTGTTGGAAAGGGTTAAATTTGAGCCGTCGGTCGGTAGCGATCGAAATTCAATCATTACCGATCGGTACAGGTCTTTAATGGTCGGATTTCGACTATTACTGAATGGTTTAGGCCCATATCAGGTGATACAAAGTCTTTTAGTAAATACCACCTTATACAAGGTGGTCCACATACCAGTCCCCTGTCGGACTGGTATATATCAGGCGGTATACCATAGTACAATGAACCCTGGTTTTAATAATCAATTTTCTTTTACTAGACCATGTATTGTTGAGTTCTTTTGCTGTTTTTTATCATGTAGTTGACATGTATATGGTTCAATTGTACTGGAGATAAAAAAATGTGAATTATGTAACAAAATGATATTTCTTTTTTTTGTAAACTAAGTCATCTATTTTTAGGGTGTATATTCTTTCTGGACAAGTAGCCTTTTAGGTGACTGCTTACTGCTCAGTATTTATTCATAACTCCTTGGAAGATGAATTTTAGAAGGATGGATATTACTCACAAGGACGTAGTTAGAGGATATTAAACTATTAGTTGACCATATACTCCTAAGATATCCTAGGCCAAAGGAGACAAATAAATTCAACTGTTCATCCTTAATAAATTTCCAGTCTGGATATAAGTTTTGATAATTTAAATACTATACGATCGTTTGTCAACTTTTGCTCCAAATGAATGGGTTATTTTTATGCCATTGGTAGTTAGAAAGGATGTTAAAAAATAGTCCTATAGATGGTAGATTTACAAATTTCTGTGCTGCTTATACGCACCATGTAATATGTGTCAAGCATCAGTAAGTTTTCTTTTATTCTTCGTATTTCTGTCCCTCTTTTTATATGCTTGTGGTTGAATTTTAAATTTTCAAAGGTATGCTACTGTCATGGACAGTGGTTGTTATTTGTGATATGTGAAATTTATTATTTTTGATACAGATGATACAAGCAGTCCAAACTTTTCAAGCCATAGGATAATTTCACTAACATATTTGCTACATTTCTTATCAAGAAATGCAACTCTATTTTGCCTTGTATCTCACCTTCAAACTCTTCTACCGAGTTCATATTGGAGAGAACAGTACCTGTTGACTGCCTTTGGAATATGTGCTCACTGATTGCTGGTATTACTTTATCATCTTGTGTGGTTAATGTACATTAGTCATGATTGCTGATCTGAGGTGACAAGATGCTTGGATTTCAGGTTTTACTTCATTTGCTTTTTCTTAGTCTGAGACAAGCCGTGGATTCGACCAAGCAGTGGCTGGGCATATGGGATGAATACTTTTTACCTTAAGGAGTGGAAGAAGAAAGATATAACTCGTATTTATCACAAGTGGCAGAAAATGGTATGTTTATGGAAAAACTTCTCTTCATTTAGTTCCTCATAACTGTATATGATGTTTGAAAAATAAAAATGTCATATATTCTAAATATATAAATTATGCTACCATTGAACTAATTATGCTGTTTTTCAATACTTTGTGCCTTATGTTGAATAGAGTACTTCTAGGCCATGTTCATTCAGGGACACGTTTGGCATATTTGTAGTTTCTATATAAATAATAGTCAGAGAGGATTTTAAGTATATAAACTGCGCACAAACCTTTTTTCCCTTAACTTGCGTTAGAATTACCATAACTTATGTTCTTTGCCTTTCCCATAGAATAGCATTATTTTTAGTCAGAATCCAGGTTTGTTCTACAGATTTCCCTCCCAAATATAGCATTTAGAATGTTTTAAACTGTGCATATGTTTGAGTCAAGGTATGTAATTTCGTACTGTACCAAAGTTTCAACGTTCGTTCGGTACGGTATAAAACTGTATACCGAGCGGTATACCGTTCGGTATACCGCTCGGTATATATATATATTTATATATTTTTTTTATAAAAGGCGACGTCGCCTTTTCCTTCTCCCACGTGGGGTTATATATATATATATATTTATTTATTTATTTATTTATATTTATATTTATATTTATAATATTTTTATAAAAGGTGATGTCGTGTCACCTCGGTGATTTCGCCTCGTGTATATATATATATATATATATATCGTTCCGTCCGATGACGGGCGGTCCATGTACCGGTAAGCTGACGGACCGGTATGTACCGCCCGTACTGGAAGATATTATTTGAAATTGTATACCTTAGTTTGAGTTACTTACCCTTCTTATTGTTGAAAACTTTAGCTTTTGGTTAATCTGAGATCCCTGTAGTCTTGGTTGTCAAGTCTGTTAGTTCAACTTAACTGTTATCCTTGCTTAGAATAAATTTGGAAACTTTCTCATTGTGACGATCCTTGTATTACCTCTACACAGAGCATTCAGTTGGAATTTTGAACGACATAACCTGTGTTACTTTCACCATATATGCTCAATGAATCAAAGTGTTGTTTTCTCATCCCAGGTTCACTAGTATGGTGGAAGTACAGCACTGACCAGACGGATCTTTATTCTGTTACTCCTAATTTAATTATCTCATAAATATTCCATATACCCTGGTTTGTTGGTAAATGAATTATGCAAATTTACATTGTGGTCTCATTTCCACTAGCATTTTCCTTAAAAGTGTTCAGTTTTCATTCTGGATCGTTATTGACACCTTCTGCGTTCACAAGTTCAACAGACATTCTCCTCTAGCAATCAACACATGATCTCTATAAAATACTGCTTCATTAGCAATTTTGAAGCCAGATGGTATATTCAGAAACTTGGTGTGGCCATGTTGAATTTTAACCACTGTCAACCTAGATTCATAGATGTGACATGGATTATATTCTAGTGCTTGCCTCATGCAGATATTCCGCATACAAAACTTAGCCTCCTCTTCTAGTAACCGTGTTAAATCCTGACCTCTTGAGCTAATAGATAAGATAGAATTCCAATGCCTGTTTTTCAATATCCTCTGTATGGAGATAACAATGTGGTATACTATCATGATCAGGCATATATTGTCTTGTTGTAGTGATAACTACTATCTTGTTGTTACCTTAAATATCCTATGCACAATGCATGATTTACCTCTGTGGTCATTGGCAAATTACATTTGGTGCTTGGAATCAGCCTTACAAAACCAGCATGCTGGGATACACATTTCAACCGCATATTTTACCACTGGATTACACGAGCGCATAAAGAGACATGACATTCTTTTCTTTACCACTTGGTTAAAGTTCTTAACTCGTTTCTCTCTTTTTTATGTCTAGAATGAAGAGAGTGCTGTGGAAACTGGGGACACTTCCTCCAGGACTACTCGCGTTTTATAAACTGACACACACGCTGGACAAATCATGGCATGTTCTTGGCTTGGGTTATAACCCTAGCATTGATCACTCAGATACAAAATGCTGCTGTAGTCCATTATAATGGGAACATGAAACCATGGTTGGAGATGGCAATGACCAAGTACAGAACATATTGGACCAAGTACATCATGTATGATCACCCTTATATTACGGGATGCAAGCTAAGCGAATAGGAAGAATTAGAAAGTGTAGTCAGAAAACAGCTGCAGCTCTTTTGCTCGAGAAGTTAATCTGGAGTAAGCTGGAGATTGTGAAGGGTTCTTCGACCTCATATTGCCTTATCTTATGAATTATCTTTGAAATCCATGATGTCATTCTCACCTGTCTTGTAAACTTTCCCTTATTGTTTGTGCCTCTGATGGAGGGAGATTCTTCAGCTGTTCAATTTATCAGAATATGTAGCTGCATTCTGCTAGTAAGTAAAAAAAAAACTTCTTTTAATTTTCTATCTATGCATTTTTTTTGCTTCTCGGATTTTGGTTTTTGTTAAAATTTTACATGTGAAGACTAGGGCATTGGACATGCGAGCTAAAGTTTTCTTCGTATGCGTTCTTGCGGCTCTCCTAGTTAGAGGTCAGGACAGTTTTCTCATGCTTTTTGTGCACATGGATGATTACTAGTCGATGTAAGGCGTAGATATTGAATGCATCATTTCTTTTTCCTTACTCGTGGGGTCTATTGTGATGCTAATTATTCCGGAACTGAGAATTGATTTTATTTTGTTGCTTTATTATCAGAGAGGATATATACTTAATATGCCAAACTAACAAAGCACCAATGACTTGAATGATAGTTTTAGATGTAGTTGTTAGATGTTTTGATCAGTTGGAATGCAAGTTTAAGCAGATTGGAAATTAAATGCCTACTCAATCTGACGTGGTATATTCTTTTGTGCAAGTAATGGTTTTTTGTTTTCTTTTTTTATATAATGTGTAATTGGTTAAGACGGGTTTTGATTCTGAAACTCATGATGAATGACTCATGATGAATAAATATATTGGATGAAGTTTCGTCTCAGCCTTTGGTAGTGCATATGACTTGCAATTTTTATTTGCACACCACCATAAAATAAGGCAAATTAAAAACCTTTTATTTTTACTTTTTGTATTAGCATTTGTTTTTCATTTATTTTTTAGCACATCTTTTATTTCCTAAAAAATAAAATTAGTTGTAGTATCTGCCCCATCATCTCATCATGGTTGTTGACGTTGCTAGCCCTCTTTGTCTCGTCGCTCTTGCCTCTTCTCATTTTTTGATCTCTTCCTCTTTGATGTCTTAGTCGCCGATCATCCTTCATCGTCATATATTTTTGTTGTCCCATCATGAGGTCCTATCATCCTTGTCTCTCCTCCCCTTTGTTGATGCAATTATCATGTTGCATGCCACCTATGCCTTGTCGCCCTCACCTTCCTCCCCTTTTCATTCGACCACTTCTCTATCGTGCACGACCATCACGACCCTTGTCATCTCCCAGCTCCATGGGGAGTCGATGGTGTTGAATACGAAGGGGAGGGCGTGTGAAGGGAGCTGGGATGGAGGTTGTGGGGGTAATGATCGAGGGATGGAGGTGGTGGAGGGTAAAAGTAATTTCATTTGTTAAGAAATAAAAATCCCTTAGGAACAAATAGAAAAAAAAACAAGGAAAAGAGTGAAAATAAGGATTTTTGTTTAGAATTTGCCCAAACAACAACTAAATAAGAAGCGCCATATCCAGAACCTGGAGGCACTATGCCAACCAAAAACCAACAGAAGAACCACATGGAGATCTCAACGATTGCGTTCTTTCTTGCTGTGCCAGTGCTAGCTCAGAGAGAAACTAACCAACTAGTAAGAAAGACGTATCAGGAGTTTGAAGCAGCACAAACACAAACTCTTGCTTCGTAAAAGAGGGGACCTGCGAACAGAGTACCAATCCAAGCAAGGCCAAGTTAGTAGTGCTGAACAGAGTGTCTTGATCTCTTGCCGGGAGTTGGAGCAGGGGAGATCTGTGGCACCATGAAGGCGTCGTTGCTCCACCGCTCGAGGTTGATTGCTACTTCCTTGCCTCCGAGGGAGTGCGGGTGACGGGTGCCGCCGGCCGGAGGAAGTGTGGAAGGGAACTGGGGTACATGGGGCGCGCGGATGGATTCCAGCCCGCCGCCGCCCACACCCTCCTCCAGCAACGGCAGCAACTCATCCACCTGCACAACATATCATAAAAGGTTAAGATCTTGCGACGGTCTGATCCCGTAAAGATGAGAGCTTTCGGTTATAGAGCGGCGAACATTGGAGAAACCATCCATGGCGGCAGCGGTTGTTCCGTCTTCCACCAGCAGGTCCTCGACGTGCCAGCCTGGGCACATATTGATGAGGTACTCTGAGATACTACTGGCGCTGCTACCCGTAATCTCTGCCTCCGGGAAGGAGATAGGAGAGGCGGAGAGGCGGATGCCGGTGAGAAGGAACCTGCTATGCTTCATGGTGAGGTGATTGGCGCTGTGTATGGAAGCATCGCAGTGGTCACAAAGGATCGCTCGGTCTTCCCGGCAGAACAAAAGCGATCTCTTCTCCTACGAATCAGACAACACACGCCACCCACACACAAAGGTTCAAACTTTGGCTATAAATCGGAGTTACTTTGAATCGGTTCCGTTGGCCGTACCCGACAGATGTCGCAGAGCGGGTGGGAGTGGGCGGAAGGGGGATCGAGGGAGAAGCGGCGGTGCCTGCCGGCGAGCTTGTTCGCGCAGTGGACACGACGGTCGCAGGCGTCGCAGAGGGCGGCCTCGTCCGCACAGCAGAACACCAAAGCCTCCCCTTTGCCGCAAAAATCACACAGTATCTTCATCTCTCTCACGCTGTGCGTACTGTCTTTCTACGTACTGTTGTTTTTTTCTTCCTCCTCCTCAGATGGAGATCTTTTTCAAGTGGTGGTGTGGAGGACGAGAAAACGGGCTGGATTCATCGGGGAAGGAAGAACCAGAGAGAGAACATAGGAGGAAGTATAATTTAAGCACAATGTCGATATTATTATACAATATTATTATAAATATGCGTGAAGCAGCACGAGGAGAGCTGAAAGCGAAATGAGAGAGAGAGAGGCGTTGGAGGAATAATAATGTAAGCATAGTGGTGGATATGAGAACAGATGAGTGATTATAATACCAGACAAGCAGGAAGTGGAGCTTAAAGCGAGCGAGAGAGAGAGAGAGAGAGGGGTTGAACAACCATACAAAGGAATCACCTGAGTTTTCCCGTTGCTTTTCTCGTAGCAATGTCTCTAATCTTACCACCGGAGTTTCTGCTTTAACTTTCTCATTTGATGTGATCCATGTCACTGGAAAACAGTCAAAGTGTGTAAGACATAAACATGATCATTATAATACTTTTATTTAGTTTCATACATTAGAAATTATACTATTATTATCTTAATACTTTTATTTAGTTTCATACATTAGAAATTATACTATTATTATCTTAGGTTTAGATTTAAACTCAGTTGTACTATATTAGTTCTTATGTGATGATGTCATGATAATATTAAGATCTGATAAGTGTATTAAGTCTAAACAGTTTGAGTCACTAATTTAAGTTTTATAAAATTAATCGATAGTTATTTCATCATCATGTCGAGACATAATAAATAATATCATAACTGATATGATATTGAAAGTTTGAGGAGGATCTAGTAAAAACTTATCATTAATTTCATATGGACAAGATTAATATTGAGGATATGATGAATGTATTATTATCAATTTTAGCTTTAACATTTTGGTTAGTAGTTTGGGTCAAACGAAACTGATAGGTCAATTAGCCCATCAAGTCCGGATCGTGACATTTGGTATTAGAGTCAACTTAATATTTGGGTATAGTAAAGAGACACGAGCAGGAAATGGCTACTTATTGATGGAGTTAGAGGACTCATCACAACGTTGAGCCTTCATTTGATTATCTCTTACATGTACAAAGTTTGATTTGGACTATCCTTAAATTGGGAAAGATTGAAACATCCCGATTAATCTATCGTTAGAAGTGAGTAAGATTAAGATTAACTTATAAAGATCTGATGAGTATATTACTATCTCAACTTCAACTTAAACATTTTAACAATCGTCTAAACGAAATAAAATTGATAGGCCAAAAGAAATTATTGAAAAACATTGATAGGCTAGAAAACTTATCAAGCTCTATGGTGACACTTATGACCTAATAAATAATTAATAATAACTTTATTTTATTTTACAGTAAGAAAACGTTATTGGAAAACGAGAGAATATACTGATGTATCTATATGGGAATGACAAGTCAACGTTATTTTGATATATGGAGACAAGATTCAAGAAAACTATACTCTGATTCATAGGCAAAAAGAGTACTGACAAAGATTGATGGGATTGGAGTATTGCATCATATCATTTTGGATGAACACAAAATTGTTAGTGGATTAGATGTTTCCCGAATAATAGTCTCCACAGATTTAAGGTTAAGGTTACATCGACACCAATCATTCATATAAGATCTAGCATTAATATCTTAGTGCAATATGTCTCGTTCTTTTGCTTCTGTGCTCGTAGATGATACACATCTCATTCTCAACCTCGAAGCTCTGAACCTCTAATGTATTGGACAACTAAAATCTATATTAATCAATAGGTCGTAATCATAGAATTGGTTTTTGAATAATATTTATATGAAAAATAAACAAACAAAAAAAAAATCAACCAAACCTTTGTATTTAAATTTTTAGAAAGAAATTATTCTAATTTTAATTTCATGGGTTCCTCCCTAATTATTTATACTGAGGTGTTGCAAGTAGCACTTGGTATTTAATGGGCAATAATGAGGGGAAGAATGGGCTGCCTGCCACACCCAATATGAATTTTATCCTTTGAGAATGAATTCAACCATAAGCTTCCCATATGAATTTTAATGCCTTTTTTTTTTAATTAGATCAACTTTAATTTTTATCTTTGGGTTTTTACCCCAACATTTGTTGCATAAATTAATATTTTTCGGATCACATCTCTCTGTCTTCTTGGTAGAAGAATACCCATTAATCTTCTCACTATGATATGTATGAGTCTTACAAAGATCATAAAAGCTGGAGAAACAACTGGAAATCATGCTTTGTAGAAATAAAACCAAGTACAAATAATTCAATACAACTACTGCTTCTTCTTCTTCTTCTTCTTCTATTAGCTTTTCTCTTTCTTTCTTTTTCCTCTTCTTGATGGAAGGATGTCCAAATCAAATCGAATTGTGTGTGTCTCCAACTCCCTCGCTACGGGCTCGACGTTAATCCTCGTGCTTCACAGCCTTTCATTATCCTCAGCCTCTTGCATGACGAGACGAACATCCTGCACATCCAAGCAGGTGGATATATATAGATGTAGATGCAACAGAGAAGAGGAAATCAGATTCATCCGTAAGCTCGTTTAAGATCCAATTAATGATACTTACTCCCATGGAACGTCTCCGACCAACATCCAGTCTCCATCTTTGTCTTCGTATGTGATGGCGTGCTCGGATTCGTGTAGATCATGAGCTTGTCTTTGTATGATCCGCTTCCCCAAGGAGAAGCCTTTGAACATGGCTTCTAAGGCATCGGTGAGGTCTTCGTAGCTGTTGTAGACTCCGAGATCCACCTTCCTCAGGTAAGGAGCTCCGTCCATGCTGACCTTCACGTAGATTCCTGTTGTGTCTTCTTCCTTCTTCTCCATCTTCCTTTCCCTAAAGCTGTTCATCCTGTAAGATCTCACAGGTGGCCATCCCACTACCTGTGCCCTGCATGCGCGCCATGTCCATCCACACAAACCATTCAGAATATTTACACCCAGCAAGCTGCTTTTACGTAGACAACTTACTTAGCCGCCGGCCGCCCGCTGCTCCCTGTGAAACCACAGCACTCCTCCTCCTCCTCCTCCTCCTTACTCCGCTTGTTGACGTTTGGGGCGGCCGTCGTCGGCTTCTCTATCGCATCCGTCCCGGGGAGACCAAGTGTCAGCTCTGTCGCCTTGAGGTTGTCATGATCTTCCATGTCGCGTCGCTGATTGGTGTCGCTCGGGGGAAGGAGAAGCCTTTGAGGGGGTTGCGTTATATAGCTTGATGGAGAGAGAGAGAGAGAGAGAGAAGAGTCGAGGTTGTGTCTTGCTCAAGGCATTGATGGACAACTACTGAGTGGGTTGGGGGGAAGGGGAGCAGAGTTGGGCGGAGTGCCGGGGGAGGCGGTGACAAGGAGGCGAAGATGGGGCCGGGGGTATCTGGCGACGGTCGGGAGGGGCACCAGCGATGACCGGGTGCGGCGGGGCGGGGTTGCCGGCCATGTGGGTTGGCAAAGGGGCGGTGGGGCGCGTGATGTTCCGCGTCAACGCGGGTCTCCGGAGGCGGGGTGGGAGGGAGATTCCCAAAGCCGACGAAGACCACATGACATGTTCGTTGCCATCGATTCTTCTTTGTGCTTCCAGTGGGATCTGAGCCAGCTCTGTTCCACCAACCGATGCTCGCTTTCTTCTTCCTCTATTGCCTCCCAGCCCGAGAACTGATGCTTTGTCCGCACGTCTGTCGACACACACATGACGGGCATTACTCTCATATGCTTATAGTCTATCGATTTAATGTGATTGACATTTTATTTTCATGTAAATATTTAATGATGAATTATTATTATTAATGTGTTCTTCCTCAATCAATTGCAATCAAGACATGCTTATTTACATAGGGATTGGCACCATTCCACAAATTTAGATTTTTCTCTTCTTTCTTGGATCACACAACACATCACAAGCATATTTTTGCTATGTAAAATATATTTATAAGTATATTTCATTATGTAAGTATAAACCAAGTTGAGATCCAAACCATTAGAGGTCGATTATGGATCCAGATCCGATCAGATAAATATCGGATCCCATTCCGCATCTCAGCCCGTTATCTAAATGGATCCGTTTGGTGTCTGTCGATGGCACGCGGTTCGACTTGATGTCGTCACTGCACGGAATCGCGTCCGACCCAACCGAACTCCCGAGCTCGGTGTACGCTCCCCAGCGCAAAGGGGAAAGGGTTTCGAATGGCGCTTGTAACCTCGTGCGGCGCTCACTCTCCGAGGCTCCAATGGCGATGCGGTGGCTGGCGAGGGCGGCGATGCAGCGGCTGGCGCATCAGCCGATGGTCCGCTCATTTTCCTCTATGATGCCCGCTGCAACGTCGGAGGCGTTGCCGGTTGCTGGGTTCGTGGTGCCGTGCGGTCGCGGCGACAAGAAGACGAAGCGAGGGAAGCGATTCAAGGGCTCGTTCGGCAACTCGCGGGGGAAGCGGAAGAAGATGATCCAGCGGATCAAGGACCGGGTCGAGGTCCCTAGGTCCACTCCCTGGCCCCTCCCTTTCAAACTTATCTGAGATCCCATCTCGCCTCTTTGGTAGGGTTTTGTTCTCTGTCACTACAAGGAATGTGCTTGTCACCAACTTTGATGCTTTTGGTTGCAACGTACCAAACTATGACGCTCTATTGTTCGGATATAAACGTATACTTAAGAAACTCCTCCATTATGTGGCATGGCCATTGGATTGAATAGAAATTGGGGAAACAAGTAGTGTAGGATTTGCATTTTTGGCATGTTCTTATGGGAAGTACTAATTGTTTCTAGCTATTTTTAATATAATATAGATTGGATTTAGTTCATCTGAAGTGAAGTCAAGGTGGAGGTGGAGAAATAAGTAATTTATTGAGATGGTAAAAGAGAAGTGTAAAGTAGGCTTGAGAGAACTAGGTTATCAATAACATATGTACTTTACTACAAGAACCTATGTCAAATTGGTATAAGTATACTAGAGAAAGATTCTGAAGAATAAAGATAGTCCATAAAATGTCTTTAGTAAATCAGTTTAAAGATCCATGGGTAGCGAACATAAAGAACTATGCTTCTTTGAATGCTTTAGTGTCTTGTAAAGCTTAGGCATCACATTATGTCTCAAGAATTTAGATACAACTACATATCTTTTCCTTGGATGATAACAATTTTGGTTTCGGCATTTATTTTCTTTGAACATCTTATCAGAACCTCTGTCGGTTGTTTCTACAGAGTTGATTTTTCTCACATCATATGCAATATGCTTTTGGCATGCTTTATTAGATGCCACTACCAGTATATTAGTTTTAACATGTTTTGAAGGGTTCGCTTATGCACATTGAACACATGTCTTGACTTTGTGAAGTTACATCCTTGGTTCAATAAACATGTTTAAAATAATGGACTTGTAGATATTATTGGTAGGTTGTCCCTGCAACAATTCTGTCATTCTCTCTCTCTCTCTCCCCTTCCAAACTTGCCCCCTCCCCCCCCCTCTCTCTCTCTCTCT